CGCTTGGAGGCCGTTTCCCAGGGCTGGGGCTGCCCTGCTCCCCTCTCACGGCTGTTAGTGCAGCTGAAGGTCTCTGGATGGAGGAGGATGGTGGGCTGGGGGAAGCCGGGCCAGGGGCAGGACTCGGCCATGGCTGCCCTAGTCAGGGCAGGGTTTAGGCTGAGCTCTGTGAAACTCGCTATTCCCAGGACGGGGGCATCTGACCCCCTCACTGTAGATTTAGCCAGTGCTTCAGTGTGCTAAGTACAGACACAGGCCAGAAAGTCTTTGGCCCCAACATATGTCTTTGTCCAGTTGCTTTCCATAAAGCTGGTTTCTAATTTACAACTTCTTCCTCTTGCAGTCAGGTGAGTTCAGACAAGCCCCAGCGATCACGTAATCTTGGCCAGAGCACCGGAGCGATGTCACAGCAATTCCTCTACCGTGCTCTGGTATCTGCAAAATGGCTCTCAGAAGCCATCAAGTCCCAGCAAGCTGGACTGGCCTTAAGGATCGTGGATGCATCCTGGTATTTGCCAAAGATGAAGCGTGACCCAAAGCAGGAATTTGAGGCACGCCATATCCCTGGTGCAGTTTTCTTCGACATTGACCAGTGCAGTGACCGTACTTCACCCTATGATCATATGCTGCCCAAGGCTGATGACTTTGCAGAGTACGTGGGGAAGCTGGGTGTGGGGAATGATTCCCATGTTGTGGTGTATGATGGCAGTGACCAAGGTCTCTTCTCTGCGCCCCGAGTGTGGTGGATGTTTCGGGCCTTTGGACATGAAGCAGTTTCCCTTCTAGATGGCGGCCTGAAGAACTGGCAGCGAGAGGGGAATCCACTGAGCTCTGGAAAGAGTCAGGTAGCTCCCTCTGAGTTCCACGCCTCCTTGGACAAGTCCATGGTGAAAAGCTATGAGGACATCATAGATAACTTGGATTCCCACCGCTTTCAACTAGTGGACGCACGTTCTGCAGGACGGTTCCGGGGAATAGAGCCAGAGCCCCGAGATGGTAATATGCCTGCTGAGACAATGGCGTCATAAGCAGGGGCTTCATTTAGGGTTCCCATAGACTTGAATCCTGTGGAGACAGTGAAGGGAAATACGGTTATCCTGTATGTATCCACCTGTCTTCCTAGCCTTTTGACTAGCTAGTGCAGCTCTTAGTTGAAAGCTCACTTAGGAGGGGGGAAAGCCATGTGTTCTGTCTCACGAAGGGCTGGGGTGGAGAAAGTAGCATTCATACACCTCAGAAGTATTTATTAGTCTGTTCAGGTACCGGTACTACTTTCCCCTCAGAACCTGGAAAGGTGCTTCTTTCAGTGACTCTGCAGAGCAGGTTGCCCTGATGCAGGGCAGGAAGAAGAGAACTTCATGACAGGTTTCTCTGACCACCTGGTAACCTGAGGGTTAGAGCCATCATTTCTGAGGGTTATGCGTCTAATTAGTAGTGGTTATCTAGTAAAGCAAACTTTAACAAAAATAAATGTATTTATTCTAACAAAATGCACCAAAAAATAAAAGTTTGTCCAGTGAAACAAAGAACAGGTTTTGCAATGGACTCTTCCCAGATGGTAGAGGTTAATTCCTGTCTGTATTGCTTTTCCTCCAGGAATTGAGCCTGGTCATATCCCTGGGTCCCTGAGCATCCCCTTCACTGATTTCCTCACAGAATCGGGCTTAGAGAAGACCCCTGAGCAAATCCACAGTCTGTTCCAGGAGAAGAAGGTGGACCTCTCAAAGCCGTTGGTAGCTACGTGTGGCTCTGGGGTCACTGCCTGCCACGTTGCTCTGGGGGCATACCTCTGCGGCAAACCAGATGTCGCTGTGTACGATGGGGCCTGGGTGGAATGGTACATGCGAGCACAGCCTGAAAATGTTATTTCTGAGGGAAAAGGGAAGACACTGTAGTAAGTTGTTTCCTCTCCCAGCCATGCAGATAATTTGCCTTGAAACAGGATTTGGAATAGATGGGTTTAACATTCCTTGTTGAGATAAGTGTCATAAGGTGAAGGTGTTGAGTAACAAGCGTGGGTACGTGATATTTAGGCACCTTCTCCGTTCCCCTACCACTAGCATGCTGGAGCATAAAGATGATCTCTTTTACAGCATCGGATGGAAGGGAGAGAGTGCTGGTAGCAGTGTGGGGAAGTAATTGAGTCAAGCCAGCCCCATGACTCAAAACATTCATGTTTACTCACAGGATGGTCGTACTTCTATAACTGTGCCTCACGATCATGCTCTCTGCCTGGCTGTTAGCATCTGGATGCCTGTGTCCTCGAATCCACCCGTGTGGATAATGGTCATTTTGAGCACAAAGCCTAGGGGAAGGGCATAGCCATTGTAGGAGCAACTATGACTTTTAGTTTGGCACTGGATGAAGTTAGACGCTTGGTCTGAATTTCTTCTTGCGCTTGGAATCTTAACTGCAGTGTGCGCTTAGCTGGTTTTGTACCCTGATGACCCCAAATCCTTTTTTAATAAACAGGAAAAAAAAGATTATAGAATTCAAAAAAGATTAAATAAATGTGTTTCAAGGCCTTTCTGCTGAATGGAGCTTATATGAGTGTGGCTTGGGTGTTAGTCTTTCCCGTGAAATCAGTTTTTATGGGATCACCTTGTCTGATGATTCAAGTGAGATATTTCCTTCTTCCTTGAGTAGAATGACTTTTCTTTCCCAAAGCAAACTCTGTGGCCCAAGAAAGGCAACAGGTAGCTCTCTCTTGGGACACTTTGCACTTTCCTCGTTCCAGTCTTTTGCCCGTTTTACTTTTTGGCCTGCAACAGAGTCACAGCTCTGTTCTTCAAGGATTGGATGCCAGCTCACATGGTGAGAATTGGATTGAGCATTGCTGTTCTTTCCATGAGACATATCATGTGGCTTTAAAGAACTTGAGGGAACTGGAACCTGTAGTCCCAAACGGCAGGCATTTTTCCCCAGGACCATTGTCATACGTTTGAGAACTGAAATCTCCCTAAGTGTCCCTGCCAAGGTGGTTCAACAATTTCTTCTCTGTAGTATTTTCTCCTTTAAAAAAAGGAAGACGGCAACTGTTTCAACCCACTGGTAACTCAGATAGTTAATGAGCCGGGGTCTGCTCTTGGGCATGCAGCAACATGTGTTTATGGATATCTGGAGCTGATGGTTGTCGTCCCTTCTAGGGGATGCAGTGGATGCTTACTGTTACAGCTTTGCAGGGTCCCCTCTTTGCCAGTGAATACAAAGACTGGATCATAGTCCACTGGAGAGGTTTGTTCTTTATGTTCCTTTAGGCCGATGTTGCCTGCAGCCCTAGCTTCTTCCTGGGCCTGGCTTGCATGGACGTGAGCTCTGTTTCTGCAAACTTCTTGGGGTTTCACAGTTCAGATGACTTCTTCCTCTGTGGCCTCACATACTTCCTGACCTCCTTTTCCCCCCATTTCCAGTAGCTGAAGCATTCACTTCCGCTACATAGGTTCAGTCTAATAACCTTGCTCTTCAGGGACTTGCAGCTGGTGTTACAGCAAGCACTGGGAATACAGAGCACACTGAGGTCTGAAATGAGTGACCCTATAGGTAGGCAGTGCAAGAAACTCTCAGATCTGGATACCATTAAACTTTATTTTTGTCAGTTTCCGTTTGTCTCTTTGCACTTAGACTTGCCCAAAAGCGCTTCTCTTGGAGGTCACAGAATGCCCTGCAAATTGTGAAAACTTCAGCTCTGGATCAGTTTGTAATCCAATAGATAGTTTAGTTTTCTTCTTCCTGATAGAGAAAGGTTTTCTGTTCCCCTCTTTTGTGAATTTCCCTGCCCATGTAATGGTGTTTTTAAAGGCTAGTACCAACACTTGGCTTTATTCCAGGTTGGGTAATTTTCCAGCAGCTGTTTCCTGGGGAGAAAAGGGAGGAATTAGCCAACGTGTCACATAAGATACCTGATTGCAGTCTTTAACCATGGGTACTAAAAAAAAAAAAAAAAAAAAGCTGTTTAGGGGTTACTCGTGGGGAATAAGCAAGTGGTTCTAAACTCTCAGTGAAGAGGCCACCCAATCTGAGCAACAGGGACCCTGCTTTTAAGACAGTTTAAGACATCTATACGGATAGCATTTTCTAGTAAGAGATCCTGTAGCAGGGGCTGGCTCGTGACATCTTCTTGATTCAGGATTTCTAGCTTCTCCCACTATCAGCCAAGATAAGAGGCTTTCACTAATAGGTCATCAAGGTTTAACACCCTGAATGTAGCTGGAAGATGAAGCAGATTCTATCAATATGTAGTCAAACCCCTACATACAAACATAGAGTGCTGCTACTGCTCTGTTTCTCTAGGAAGTTACTTACTAGAGAAAATTTATGTTTTCTTTCAAACTTTATTCATCATTTCCAGTGGGTGCGTGGGGCTGGCTTCTGCTCTTGTGCCTCTAGAACATTTGGCCCACTGCAGTGCAGCTCTGAACCTGTGTTTCATTTTGGGACGCAGCAGTACTTGGGGTCAGTAGTAATCTCTCTGCTTCCTCTTGAGCCTGAGCTCTTTTTCTCTTTCACGTGTGCTGGGGAGAGGTGCGTGGTACAGCCTCGTGAGCCACGTGGAGTTTACAAACTAAGTGAAAGCTTTTTACCTCTTTCCTTGCTCTGCATTTTGACTGAGCGACTCCATGACATCCAGCAGGACCTTTCCCCCTTTCTGGCATGTGTGCCAAGATTGGCAGCACTCAGTTACCCTTCTCCCTGACAGGTTTTGAATCACAGACTCTTCTCTGTAGTTGATTAATTTTCTCAGCTTTCAGCAAATCTTTTACCAGACCCTTAGCTTTGCCTTAATTTCCCTGCTGTGGGGAAATAGAGAACTTCCTCCCCACCCTGAAATATTTTGCCTCTGTGGGGTATGTTACGTCATGCATCAAAAATCTGTTCCAAGACAGTGTCTTCTGGTATTCTCCCTTCTGTTGAGATCCGTTCTCACACTGCAGGCAAAGCACTGGGAATGTTGTGGGGCCTGAGACAATGTTTTCAAAGCCTGGAGACTGCAAAGCCTATTTTGAGCTGTAACAGATGCTACTGGACATATGGAACAGCTGAAGGGACTTGCACCAGGACTATAAATGTTCTACAGATCTTTATGTCCCTGACTCAGTGGGTGAGTTTCCTGTGGGAAATGGAAACAGGGAAGGGGAGAAGTAGATATGAATGCAAATCACTGACAATGTTCCTGACAAACCCGTGGAAAAATTGCCACTGGGAAAGGGAATAAAGCATCTTGGATGGGACAGGGCTCATGGCAGCTGAGAAGTAACCTAAAAAACAGCCCTAATGTGGGAAGAGGGTCACACTGACCTGTGGCTAATTTGAGATGGAGCTGTTACAGATCTCTATATAAATCCCAGAAACCCAGATCAGCATGTAAACTCCTTATTGGTGTATAGGTATGTTTTACTATCCGTAATGCTTTTGTCCTGAAGCAGTGTTGGCTCTGTGAAAACAGTCTAGTCAATGAATAACTCTGTGGCTGTCTCAGAGCACAGCACAGCTTTGAGTGTCTGAGCTAAATTTGAGCCTGCAGGGATGAAGCCACAGTGATGATGCTGGTGGGTCTGCTCTGTGCCTGGTGACAAAAGAGTGCATACGCTATGTGAAGCAGCAGTAATGGGGAGGAATGGGAAGGCCTACAGCTGCCTGGTAGGTCCACTCTGGGAGCTGAACACAGTGGGAAAGGGAAATGAGCCAGGTTGTTTCCCTGAGACCTGGGGCCTTGTTTGAGCAGCCTTGAGTGAGGCCTTGAGCAGCCATGGAGGCTTTTAGTGTGTTTTGGGGCTTGGGATTGTGATGGTGTCTCATTTGGATCTGCTTATGATGCTGAGCACGTGAACCCCAAATGATGCCTTACATCTCCACATCAGTTTGCAGCTCCTGTTTTGACCGCAGGCCTGGCCACATGAGACTTTCTGAGGCTGGAATGTGATGAGAGAGAAGAAAATGCTTCTCTTGTCAGAAGAGGTTGTGGGGAGGGAGAACCGCTGTCACATTTTAACCGTATAACATATCCCCCACTCCAAAGGAAGTAATGATTCAGACCAGGCAGCTGGGGCCTGTTCCAGCTGCCACTGCTACTGAGTCCTGCTCTCCAGGTCTGCTCTCTCAGAGTTTGTGGTATGGAGGGGTAGAGGAGAGCTAGGGCTTTGGGTATGTCTGCTGCAACCCCCCTCTCAATCCCTTTCCCCTAGCTCTGGTGTCAGGCACTCCCTCATGTATGCACTCCCTCTGCTCACCTTCCAGGAATGTGACTGTATCTCGCACATACTCCTCATCCTTTTCACCATGCATTTGCAGCATAGCTCCACCTTTTATTGGGTGTAAGCACAGATGGGCCTTGGGCAGCAATCCCACAGTCTTTTCTTCCTCACCTGTCTTCATCCTCTGCCTTCCTCTTTCTTCCCTACTGCTGCACTGTTTCATGCCCAGCACCCCAGGAAACTGCTTGTTCTGCTGCAAACTTTCCCCACAGCCCAAAGCGGGCCTTTCTCTGCCAGTACCACTGTCCTTTCCTAGTAATGACCACTTCATAAGTTTATTACCTGCAATTGGCTTTTCTTGTTTCTGACATCTTTCTTGGGTCCAGCTCACAACCAAGTGTCATGTGACAGTTTTCTCTGTTCCTCCCAGCGCTCTTCCAGCGGTGGTGGTAAGTGATACACATATACACACAGGCTTTACATGCTGTTTTGAATGCAGGTACTCTGCTCACAGACTGCATGGAGCACAAGCAGCTAGAGAGAGATTAGATCCCGAGTGTGCCGTGGGACCTTTCTCATCCTGCCCCAATCTGCCTTGCTCTGGTGGCAGTCGAGCTGGGCTGTGTTGGCTACAAGTAAACTGTCTTCTTCCTACTCCTATGTCCAGTACAGGGAGTTTTCTTTGCCCAGTTCACTGCAGGCTTAATGGCAAATTTCAGAGCATTACTTGTCCTCCCCAGTCCACTTCCTGCAGAAGAGAGTTTCTTCTCCAGGGCCTTGTCCCAAAATGTATTCATTAACTAAGTGATCATTCAGGTTTAATCCCAGATGTGTGTTCCCAGCCTGCCAGAGTAGTGACACTTGTCTATGCCAACACATGGTAATTCTTGCTCCCACTGATACTCCACAATATGACAATTACCTAAGAGAAGCTCTGTAACATCAGCGATGCATCATACACAAGGAGCCCAGCTGCAGGCCATGTTGCACGTACTGAATGCGGCAGTGTGTGTAGCTCTCTTCTGGTTTATATGGTAAGCCTGCTGGCTGCTGAACAAAAGTTCTCTCACTTTACAGTAACCCTCCTGCTTTTGCTCTGTCCCTGGGCAGCCCCTTCTCCTGTCTACCCAGTGGCTGTTCAGCTTTTCCTGTCCCCAGTCTGTGCAATTGTCCCAGTCCCTGTGATTAACTGGATACTCAGTAGTCTGTATGGTGTTACGCAACCACGCTGCCCCATGTAAGCTCTTCCTTGCTGCTGTCTCTTTCTGTGCGTGTGTTTTATATATATTTATCATCAAAGCAGGAGGATCAGTCATTTGGTTATCTAAATTTGTCTCCTGTCTGCTATTTCTCCCTGATTTTCAATGGACCTTAACAAGGACATGCTAATTGCATCTCAGAAATATGTCTGGTGACAGTGTTCAAATCAGGCCCATATTTAGCCCACAACACTGACTCACCACAGCATTTCAGTCAGTAACTTGCTATGGGCTGATTTCCTCCCAAAGAGGGTTTTCACCTACTATGGGGAACTCCTTGACTTTCAGGGTTCCAGGAAAGTTCATGCTGTATGTTGCAGAGGAGAAGACCTTGGGGATGGGAGAGATGCACCTCTCTACCTTTCTCCTTACTCACAGTATACTTTTTGAGATTTGTCAGCTAGCCCTTCACCCCATGCCCCAAGGATGGCAAGACTTGACATGCTGGCCCCAGATAGAGGCAAGTGTTGATGGAAGAAGGTATGCCCTGAATACAGACCATCCCTGAACCATGAACAGCAGTGGTATGGGAGAGGCTGAGAAGGAAGGCAGGGAAAACAAACAAGCTTGCACCTAAAAAAGAGCAAAAGGCTGAGGGGTTGTGAGACAGGCCTGGAGGAGAGGGAGATGAGGTGAACGGTTGATAAGAGAGAAGACAAAGGCAGGGCAGATTTCTTGGACGGGAAGATAAGGGGCATAAGCTGCCACCCCCGCCCACTGCATTCATATCAGGAAACCACACTCCTCACCCTCCGTCTCTGCTGGAGCTCTAGCCAGCACAGACAAGGTCCTGCTTCCCTTGCACACCAGAGTGCAGAGCAGAGCCCTTGGACTTGTCAAGGTTTGACTCGGAGCCAGAAGTAGGAGTGTGACAGTCCCACAGCTCAGAGCTGTGTTGCGCTCCGTGATGCTTCGGCTCAGGTCAGTGTTAGCCTGAGCATCTCTGATACCCTCCACTGCTCAGTAGAGACTGATCTAAGGGCTGGAGACTAATTTGGGCCGCAGTCTCCTCCATACAGGTAGGCAAAACCTACTTTTCATCCTCTCCCTATTATTGGTCACCCTAGTGCCTGGCCAGCTCCTCCTAATATAAATTAAAGGAAATCCAGAGCTGTTTGAATTTGCACCTGCAGCAGCTGAACTGTTCCTGTGCTGAAATTAGCTGGAGGTCAACAATCTAAAGCACCTTTTCCATGTTAGTCTCTCTTTCCCACTCCTTTTTGCAGTCCTCCCCAGGAAGAGCAAAGTACATGGTTTTACTGTCTGTGTTTGTCAAGGAACTCCTTTATCCTGGGTGATTTGGGGGAAGGGTGATGCTGCCTTTGCACCTTGTGAAGATAAAAGGTAGTGATTTATAAGAAAATAAAAAAAAAAAAGAAGGAAGGAAGGAAAAGAATAGGAAAGCAATCTTTCTCTTTTTCTGCCCTGTTCCCCCAGTAAAACCCCTGCTCAAGGAGACACAAAGATCTAGGTGCAAGAATGATAAAAGTGTCTGCAAGGCACTACAGCATCTCTGTATTGCCCTGGCAAAGAAGACCCAGAAGGTTGTGTGGGTGAAGGGGAGGCTTTGGGCTACATTCAGGTGAAGAGAGGGAAAACAGCAGCCTTTCCCTTCCCAATACATTTGAGCTGCTGGCAACCATGGTTGTGCTTAGACAATGGTGGGAAAAGCAGAGCTCCTGGAGAGAAAATGCTTTCAGGTTGTGTCCGTGCCAAGGAGCACATTTGAACCAATGTCCCACAGGGCATTGGTTGCTGTTTTTCCAAACCAGCTCCAGGCTTTGCCTGGCAGGAGTGAGTGGCAGAGGCATGGCCAGATTCAGTAAGGAGGGACTGGCCCAATCAGAGTCAGTGGGTGATGTGTACCTGGGGCAAAGGTAAAATTCCACTCAGGGCCAAGTTAAAATCTGAGCTCACTGTTGCCCAGGCAAAGTCAGAGATGGCAGGAGCATGGGGAGAGGAGAGAGGAGGTCTCTGCCTGGCATGGTTTGTGCTGGTAGGACAGCAGTGGAGGAAAGTTTGCTGAGTCGGTGACTTTCAAGCACCACGACAAATGAATCCTGCCCCCTGCCAGCACTTCACAAATCCAGGATACTATCCCAGAAGTGCCCCTACATATGTTAGCAAGAAGGCAACTGTCCACGCGTTTTGCAGCAAGAGCAGCATGGCAACTGATACAGGAGCTATGAGCCTGGGAAAGCAGATCTCCTAAAGGAAAAGCTGTGCCGTACAGTACTGATGGGTTTAACCTGCTGAGTGCCAGAGAGCAGGTTGTTCTCCCTAACTGCAGGCAAGCTCGAATGCAAGTCCCAGGACTAGAGACAGGCAAGCTACCAGCTGCAGGGCTGTGGTCATATACTACACTGTGGCCCCCTTAATTACAGTATCCCCTTTTGCAGGAACAGTGGGCTGGGGAAAACTACAGTTCCCAGTACCCTTTTGTGCATGTCTGTGCAAACTACAGTTCCCAGAATCTTTTAATGAGCCACAGATGACGTTCATGGAAATAAATGCTGAGGATTTTTGCATAACTCCTTGCACCTCTGAGGTGCTGGCGAGCCCTTAACTTGGTTAGTCAAAACGGAAACCGAGAAGGGGCCGGAGAGCATCTGTGCTGCGGAGCTGCAGTTTTATCCATTCCTAATAGCAGCAGTAATATCCTACAGCACAGAGCATCCTTCCTCTCCCCCCACCCCTGGCTGCCTTGGCAGTCACAGGGACCCCAGCACCCCTGGGAAACACGGCTGCTGCAGAAAGAAAGGCAGATGAACTACAGATCCCAGCATCCCCTGGTGGGCAGCACCTGCAGCAGTCCCTGCACGCTGGGGGGATGAGGATGAGGATGGAGGGCGGGGAGGAGATGCAGGGTGCTGTGGGGCTGCGCTGCACCTGGGACATCCTGCCACCTGCCGGCACCCAAGCCAAGTGGGTGAAGCTTAATGTGGGGGGCACTGTCTTCCTCACCACCAGGCAGACCCTGTGTCGGGATCAGAAATCTTTCCTGTGTCGCTTGTGCCAGGGCGAGGAGCTGCAGTCGGACCGGGTAAGGCAGCCGGCTTGCCTCCTGCACCGTGCCCCACTGAGCATGGGGGCATGGAGGGCTGGAAGGATGCTGGGATGGAGTCAGACTCCAACAGCTGCAAGAGTAACTGAGTAAACATATACCTCTTCTTCCACCCTCCTCTCCTGGGAAGAACCTTCCCTTGCTTTCCTTGCCAGATGCTACCTTGCTGTGTTGTAGCCTAGCACCCGTCTTCCCCATTTGGGGAAAAAAAGAAGCCATTTCCCCTCCTTCCTGGCTCTCCTGTCTCGCTGTCTCCCAAGATCTCCTGGACTTATATCCCAGCTATATCTCCCTGACTCAGCCTAGTTCCCTGTAAGGGATATGTCTGCTCTCTCGCACCAGCCCTATACACAGAGTCACAGGAGGAGCCAGAGGCCTTTTTCTTTGGCTTTCTTAGCTGGATTGGTCCATTCTGAGATGGTCGTCCTGGGGATAATGAGCCAGGAGTTAAAATCCAAGCAAGGCTGACGTGGATTGGGGCTCTCCATGGTCCATCTCAGGAGAGTAAATTGCAGAAGCTGGTGTCGTTTACTGGGGGAATGAAACCTTTAGAAAGTCAAAGTTCTATCAAAAAGTCAGAAAACCCTGGGTTCTTCCTCCAAAACCTTGGTTTGCTGTGGTGAGCTTTGCAAATAGGTTTGCTCTCCATTCTGTGGGTGCAGACCAGGGAGTCCCCCACCCTTACTTTGGCTTTGCAAGCTGGCTGGCTGTTATCTTGTGTAACTGAGCGTGCATGCATGTGTTTGGGATCCTTATGCTTTATTTCATCATCATCCTTCAGGTCATCTCATAAAGGGGAAGCAGTAGCATCTTATTTTTCCACGGGAGAGCTGCTGTGTGCATGGTGTAAGTGATGGTACCATGGAGGAGCTGAAACCATGGGCCCTGCCCATGATTTCTAAGGAGACTTAGAAATAGTGGACGTTTTTGCTAGATTAGTATTTTCCTCTAATCTGGATCATTTGAGGGTTGATGAAACTTTTCCTATGGGTTTTTTCTCCTCATGGTCTGTCTCTGTTGCTAGGATGAGACTGGTGCATACCTAATAGACCGAGACCCCACTTATTTTGGACCTATCCTGAATTTCCTCCGTCATGGGAAGCTGGTCCTGGATAAAGATATGGCTGAAGAGGGTGAGTTTTGAAGCTCAGAAACTTCCCACTTAAGATTGCTTCTGGAGCCAGAACACCGTAGGACTTGTTGTCCACCTTGTTGTGTCCCATTCTCCTGAAGCTGGTGTGGGAGTTTTGAGAGGGCTGCCTCTGCAGCTCCTGTAAAGCATACTGATGCCTCCTTTACTTAGGTGCTTTGGAGTAGGTGGGGAAGCCATCCTATGATTATTGTGGCTTCTCAACTATTAGTTCAGCAGAGATGTCACTGAAGCAGAAGTAGGCAAGTTCTCTCAGCCTCAATAAACTGTTTTATCACCTGTTCCTGATCTGCTTTTAACCAGGCTTTGTGACTGAGGTCTCTGATAATAATTAAAAATTTCTAATAGGAGTGAAAACCCAGAAGACCAAATTGACCAAGCTCATCTCTTCTGATTGTAATAAAGACCATCATTAATTAGTGATATGTAAGATATGTTACCAGTGCCCTTATGGGTTGTGGGCTGCAGCAATTTCAGTGGAACCAGACAAAGGAATCCTTAATTTGACAGAGTCCAATAGGATAACTTACTAACATCTCAGGGTTATCAGCCAGTAATCTCCAATACCTCGTTATTTTCTTTAGACATTACAGTATAACAAGTAGCCAATTCTAAAGACAGGCTGTGCTGTTCAGCCCCTGCCAAGTACAGTTTCTGCAGGTTCATCAGTCTTCTTGTCTCTCTTTTAAGTATTTTTAGCTACCAAAATGAATGTTTTCTTCAGAATTGTCTTATGAGCTACAGTTACAAAAAATACCTCCAAGCAATGGTACAGAATCATAATAAACATGGTTCTGAGATGTTTTCTCCTTGCTATATCTTGTAATCCTTGCATCAAATAGAGTTCAGCCACAGGTTTTAACATAAAATCTGAAGCATAACAGGAGTCTGATTCAAAGCTTGATGTTGCCTTTTGTTCCTGCCACAGTCCTATGGGTTTTTTCTCCTCATGGTCTGTCTCTGTTGCTAGGATGAGACTGGTGCATACCTAATAGACCGAGACCCCACTTATTTTGGACCTATCCTGAATTTCCTCCGTCATGGGAAGCTGGTCCTGGATAAAGATATGGCTGAAGAGGGTGAGTTTTGAAGCTCAGAAACTTCCCACTTAAGATTGCTTCTGGAGCCAGAACACCGTAGGACTTGTTGTCCACCTTGTTGTGTCCCATTCTCCTGAAGCTGGTGTGGGAGTTTTGAGAGGGCTGCCTCTGCAGCTCCTGTAAAGCATACTGATGCCTCCTTTACTTAGGTGCTTTGGAGTAGGTGGGGAAGCCATCCTATGATTATTGTGGCTTCTCAACTATTAGTTCAGCAGAGATGTCACTGAAGCAGAAGTAGGCAAGTTCTCTCAGCCTCAATAAACTGTTTTATCACCTGTTCCTGATCTGCTTTTAACCAGGCTTTGTGACTGAGGTCTCTGATAATAATTAAAAATTTCTAATAGGAGTGAAAACCCAGAAGACCAAATTGACCAAGCTCATCTCTTCTGATTGTAATAAAGACCATCATTAATTAGTGATATGTAAGATATGTTACCAGTGCCCTTATGGGTTGTGGGCTGCAGCAATTTCAGTGGAACCAGACAAAGGAATCCTTAATTTGACAGAGTCCAATAGGATAACTTACTAACATCATCTCAGGGTTATCAGCCGGTAATCTCCAATACCTCGTTATTTTCTTTAGACATTACAGTATAACAAGTAGCCAATTCTAAAGACAGGCTGTGCTGTTCAGCCCCTGCCAAGTACAGTTTCTGCAGGTTCATCAGTCTTCTTGTCTCTCTTTTAAGTATTTTTAGCTACCAAAATGAATGTTTTCTTCAGAATTGTCTTATGAGCTACAGTTACAAAAAATACCTCCAAGCAATGGTACAGAATCATAATAAACATGGTTCTGAGATGTTTTCTCCTTGCTATATCTTGTAATCCTTGCATCAAATAGAGTTCAGCCACAGGTTTTAACATAAAATCTGAAGCATAACAGGAGTCTGATTCAAAGCTTGATGTTGCCTTTTGTTCCTGCCACAGACACTCAGGCTGGCATGAAATAAAACTCCTCAGACAATTCAGGATGTAATGAAGGATTCCGAGTGGGTTGGGCAGAACCAGCTCAATCCCCCCATCTACTCTGTCTGTGCAGCGCCCTGGGGACATGTGAATGTTTGTTCCTAGCCTTCTCCTCATTGACCCACTGGGAACCCACCTCCCTTTCCCTGAGGGCCTGTAGCAAACAGGAGAGTCTCAGGAGAGGTGACAGATGCAGACACCATAGAGAAAAAACAAAACACATCCCTGTTTGCCTGCTTTGAGGTGAAGCACAGGTGAGAGAGTGACAGATTATTCAACCCCCCAGATATGTGGGGTTGGAGGGTGGGTACAACTCTGACTGGCCCAGGAAGAAAGTAGGGATTTTCTAGGGTCTCTCACTGATGAGATCAGAACAAGTCATGGTTTTCTGCTTTCCAAAGAGGGCCAAAGCAATGTGGTAACTAACGGCCCTTAGAGAGAGGCTGGAGCCTACATTTATTCACCTTGGCCAGTAATCTGGTAGTGGAGGTCATACTCCCAGGGAAAGCCTTTCCCTGGCTGGAAAGTGTGAGCAGGCCTTGGCTCAAACCTTCATTGGCAGTGCCTGTTTCTGAAGTAGTAGACAGCATAAGGGAATTGGGGTGAGCAATCAGGAACGCAGTGCAGAAAGACAGTCAATTTCCTGCAGGTTCGAGCAACAGAAAAGTGTTAAAAGAGTGAGGCTGGAGTGTCATTTCTCCTTGTGGAAGGGACAGGACCTTGGGAAGCTCAGAGCTGATCTTGAGCAAGTCAAAAAAAAAGAACTGTCTGTTAACTTTGTGTCTTTGTGGTCTTTCTCAGGGGTCCTAGAAGAAGCTGAGTTCTATAACATTGGCCCCTTAATCCGAATAATCAAGGATAGACTGGAGGAGAAGGATTATGCAGTAACTCAGGTATGGATGGAAATGGCAAACAAAGACGGAATGGGAGAAGGAGAAAGTGCTGAAAGGGAGAAGTGAGTCTACAGGGAAAGCAGACTTGGGAGAAGCAGCCAGGAAAGCAAAGATGCAACTAGTTAGAGCTTACGTGCTAAACTCTGCATAACAAAACCTTGCCAGTGGCAGGCTACCACCGTTTTAGCTATGATAAAACTGCCTTGTTTCGCAGCCCCAGAGGTATTGCTGGATGTAGCCCTTGAAACAAAATGAGATCCTATAACTTCTCGAACAAGCCAGCTGATCCCTGTGGAATATGGAAAGATGTTTGTGAGGAGAGTGGAGGAGTTGTGGGGAGCAGGGCTTTGGTGTGGGGAGCGCCCACACCATGCAACAAACAATCACAACAAAGAGCGTGGGGATACCTGTGGAGGTACTTAGAGGGAAAAGGTGAAGGGATGTCTGTGGAAGAGTTAAATGCAGAAAATGAGGCACAAGGAATTGATCCTGTGGCAGAGCTGCACCTTCTCCTTCCTAGTAACCTTTTCAAACCTGTCTTCTGGGAATGTTTGGCTGATGTCTCAACTTTTCATCACGTCTGCCTCAGGTTCTAAGCTTCCAGCAACGGACAATCACTTTATGCTTGCAAAACCCTATCAGCATTTGTGGCATTTGTATAAATGACTTTGTAATGATAAATGCAAACTCCATGGGAAAGAGCCCAGTATCTTCTAGAGAAGGAAGCTCAGTCTCTTCCCTCCAGAATAGATACAGTTCCTGCCTCCCTGGACAGCATGGCAGAGAGCTGGATTGTAGTTTCTCCTCTCTTTTACCCTCAAGGAGGGCCACTACTGCATTCTCTCCTGCAGGAGGGCACCAGCCTTTAGCATGGGACCTGGGCAAAATGCTTCTCTGCGATTTTGCTTACAGGTGCCGCCTAAGCATGTCTACCGTGTGCTGCAGTGTCAGGAAGAGGAGCTCACTCAGATGGTTTCCACTATGTCGGATGGATGGCGCTTTGAGCAGGTTCGGAAAGGGTAGAGGAGGGTGGGCAGGAGCTTTCTTTTGGGGAAAAGATCATGGTTACCATGCAGGCCACAAACATGGCAGCACACCTTCCCTCTCTGGGAATATTGGTTCAGTCATTTATGGTGCTGTCATATTGGCTCTTCCCCTGCCTCTTCCCTAGAAGCTTGGAGGATGCTCTGTGCGTTTATGGGGTGTGAATGAGGTTAAGGTGCTTGAATCCTGGCCAGCTCCCCTCCTGGTACTCTATGGTGCTTCCTCTGCTTAGTTATGCAGCTTTTCTGGTGGAGGTAGGGATTAGACTTCGTGCTGCATGAGGAGCTTTCTCCCCTGCTCTCTAGGTGAAGTGGATGTCTGTAGTAACATGGGTATGTGATCCTTGCCCTCTTGTCCTCTCTAGCTTGTGAACATTGGCTCATCCTATAACTATGGGAATGAGGATCAGACAGAGTTCCTGTGCGTGGTCTCCAAAGAGCTGTACAACTCCCCCAGTGGCCTGAGCTCTGAGCCCAGCCACAAAGCCAAGGTGAGACCAAGTTTGTTAAGGCCCTGCTCCTGTTGCCTGTGAGACCCTTTGCACTGTTCGCTACCTCTTTCTTTCCACTCTGCACTGTGACCGTGGGCACCTTGGTGGTGAGATATGGGGCTTGCCAGTCATGATGTTCAGCATCATGACATTACACCTGTTGCCCAGAAGGAGGAGCGCATGTGTTTGAGGTGGTGGTGTCTAGCTGTGTGTGGCAAATGGCTTTAACAAGTGACCTCAGCACTTCTCATGCTATTCTAACATTCCTCTCATCCTGCCTCAGGACCATGCTGTGTGTGTCACTCTGCCATAAGGGTGTGATTGCCTCAAAGGCTTTGCAGCATGCCCTCTCCTTGCTGATTCTCAGGCTAAGGGGTCAGGAGCTCACCTGGTCCCCTCTCGAGGGAAGGATAGAAACATGTGCATTCTGTAGGTAGCTAAGATATGGGAAGGAGCACTAGCAACTGATTACAGTTGTTGGGCAATGGGATCACAGCATTTGTAAGTAGGTTAGATACCTCTAACCTGATGATATAGAGGAAAACAAATCTCTGCTTCCTGACCCAGAGCTCTCTTGGCCATGGGGAGAAATCCCTTTCTGTGCCCGTATCCTGAACATTGCTTTATGCCCTTGTATGTGAGCAAGAACTGCCATGGCTTATCTTGCAAGTGTCTCCACTCTTTCTTCCCTTTGTCGTGCATGCTGGGCCGCAGAGCGCAGAGGAGGACCCGGAGGAGGAAGAGCAGGAGGTGGAGGAGGAGGCAGAGGCAGAAGCAGAAGCAGAGGAGAAAGGTGCAGCAAATCCATGAGGAAAATGATAAATATAACGCCCCAAGCATAGACTCGTCCAACCTTCTGGTGAGAGTTCACAGCTAGCGGCAGGGAAGCACTAGGGCAGATGTGGGTAGGGGGAAAATAATTCCAGGGAGCAGGAGTTGGTCTGGGGATGAAGCTCATGGGGGAGAGCTGTTACCTTGGCTGCTGCTTTGTATTTTTAACAGTTTGGTTTATTTATTGTTATATTTTTGTTTGCAGACTGTCCATCTACTCAGGATTCCACTAAACTCTTTCTTCCTCCGGACCCTCCTTCCTGCTCCCCACCCTCTGCTCTCTACTTGTCCTCAGGGTGTCTGTCTCCTTATGGTCACCTCCCTCCCACGCTACCCCACTTCCCTGCCTCCAGCACTTTTCCCTCTGCTCTCTTTGCCCCCTCATGGCCTCTCCTCAGCAGCCCAGGATCCCGCCTCCCCTCCCAAGCCCAGGGCCCTGTGTGCTCCCTGCTCAGGGCCCTGTCTCTGCTCCTCACTTTTCCTCCTCTGCAGGTATGTTACCTGTCTGCACTCTCACATCCTGCCAGTCTGAGCTCTGCATGAGTGACTCACTTCCTCCCCTCTTATGGATATGGGTCAGGTTTGTAGAGCTGGGGAGGCAGAAAGAGAGGGGAGGTTGAGTCGTTCTTAAGGCAGCTTTTCCGATTGTCTTCGTATGTGGGCCTTACTCTCCAAGCAGGCCTTACAGCGCTGGACTAGAGGCTCTGGCAGCAGAAGGGCAATCGCAGCTGGGAGAAATGAAGAGGGGTGGAAATGAATGCAAAGCAGGCAAGGGTGGCACATTTGCCACGTGTCTGCCTGACGCGCATGCCAGATCGTTTCTCTAGACTGCTGTCCACAGCAGCTTTGGCAGCCAGAGAGCGGTTTGCAGAAGCAGCTTGTGATTTTCCCCTCCCCACTCTTACTTCCCTGGGCATTTCCCTCACTGCCTCTGCCAGGGTGAAAATGCAGAGGGAGCATGTGGCGAAGGCAGAGCAGAAGCTACAGTTCCCCACTCCAGATGCGTTCTCACAGATGTGCGTGAATGTGCCTCAGTGCTCTGTCTCGTACTTAGGGAGGCTACCTGGCTGGGCTGTGTGCAGCTGTGGGGGGGCATACAGAAAGCTTCAAAAGGGGGATACTTCTCTCCTACTGGAAAACTATGGGACTCTTGTTAAACTGGAGATGCTGAGCACCACTTCCCATCCTGATGGAGAGCACTTGTTAGCTGCCTGGCATTTCTCTCACCCTCTGTTCAAGAGCTTCTTTGTCTGTGGCTGTGGTATCTAAGTATTATTCTCTTAAAAATCAGTGTATATTACTCACACAGACTTTTCCCTCCCTTTTCTTTTTTCCCCCACCCTCACTCCTCTTTTCATTTTTTTCATTTCTATTTTCATTTCTTCTGTCATGTGCTCTTTCCCACTTCCTGTTTCTCATTCTCCCCTCCATGCTCAATTATTTTTTTCTACCTTTGGTTTTGTTTCTCTCTCTCTCATTCTCTAGCTATTACAAGCCAGAGGCCTGAGGATGTGATCCTGATCCAGCCTTTTAATTTGTGGTTTATATCTTTATTTTTGTACTGTAGTGTATGACAGCCCCTTGTGCCACAGTGATACCCCTCTGCTTCCCCTTCACCCTTCACATGGAGCCTTTGGTTTTTATAAAGTTGCCTCTGCAGCTTGGGCCTCCAGTGCCTGGAGGAAGGAGGAAGGCAGATGCTCCAAGGAGTGCCTGACCTGCTGTAGGATCTGGAGCCCACAGCCACCTCCCATGCCTACCAGACTGGCTTTCCTTAATCTCACAGTGGCCCCTGCTGGGGACATCAGTGCTCAGCCACTACAGCATTCGGTCCCTTCCCATACCCTCCCCACAGGACTTGGGCCCTGATGTGGTGGTACCTGCTGTAGGAACAGTCCTTGCCTTTCACAGTGGCCTTGATTGCATGGGGCAGTTAGTCTGAGCTTGTGTCCAGAGGGCCAAATGTGGAGCGGCTGCATTTTTCTGGGCCTGCACAGCTCATGAGGTGTCCCTGTGCTGGGTAACATGCTTGTTGGTGCCTCCCTCCCTCCTTGTCCCCCAGAGAAGTCCTGTGTTAGCAGGCAAGGAGGAGATAGGTGTGCTGCGTGGGTACCTGTGGGGAATGTGCTGGTGCCTGATGTAGTGTGTGTTAGCACAAGGAGATCCCTGCCTCTGGGAGCGGGGAATTTGCTTCACTGCTGTGTCCAAGGACACCAGGTTGTAACTCCTGAATAAACTTCACGGTCTGTTCCTCCTTGTTGTGCCTCTCCTTTCGAGTAGCAGAAATTTGGTGCTGGTGGAAGGGGGTCGGGGCTGGAAAAGAGGAGTTGGATTCATCACCACCTGGAGCCACCAGAAGCTGTTTGTGCTGGGCCTGTGTGTTCTGGGGACTGGCAGTACCTCCCACTGGATCTGTGCTATGTCCCCACTGCATGCAGTTGGGTACAGTGCAGGTTTGCCTATTGGTGTTTGTTTGCACCCCTAGCTCATAACAATGAGCAAACACCATCCATCTAGCTGATGCCTGGGACATAGCTGCGATGGTGGTGGTATCTCCTTTGCCACTTTCCAGCGCTTTGCCAAGACTGGAGTTTGGTCAAAAAAAGATCCAAACCCCAAGAGAATGTGTAACAGAGGAAGGCAAAGTGGAAGGAAAAAAAAAATTAGTTTTATTTCTAATTCTAGAGGGTAGCTCATTATATATACATATATATATATATATAAAAGTGTGTGTGTGTGTGTGTGTGTGTGTGTGTGTGTGTGTGTGTGTGTGTGTGTGTGTGTGTGTGTGTGTGTGTGTGTGTGTGTGTGTGTGTGTATTTAGTAAAAAATCCAAAGCCTTCTCCCTCATGTCCTGGGTTAGCTGAGCGCTGGAAGCAGGTAAGATTATTTCATGTTAAAGGTATTTAGCAGGGCACAGAGAAATAGATAGAAGGCTTCTCAAATGTTTTTACTGAGGGGCTAGGGCCTTTGCCTGAAGGAGTCCATTAGCAGCAGTGGAGCCTTGATGTTATTTCAGCAGGGAAGCAGGGACACATGCTTGGGGGTATGATGCTGGACTTGTGCCGAGGAGTCAGTGAGACGTGAAGAAGTTGTCTGGCTGAACTGAATAGCACACGTCAGCTAAGAAAAGAGGCAATTAGGGAGATGGAAGAGGAGGAGTGATGGGAGGGGATGAGGGAAGACGGATGAGTGGCAGGAAGGAAGAGGGAGGCAGATTGATTTCACAGTTACTGGAATCTGTAACTGCATCAGTCACATTTTCTTTCAGCAAATGTTCCAGCATAAGATTGTGGCTGAATCACATGGTTCACGGAAAGTTCATCTCCCCTTATTCCTCTACTCAGAAACCATCAGCTTGGGACCCTTGTTGTTCCCCGTTCCCTCCAACTGTTTTGAATGGCTGGCCTAAAAGCACCTTGGGATGTTCCCTGGGAACTACTGAGGGGGACTCTGCCTGCTTCCCTCCACCATCTCCTCTGCAGGCTTTCTTCACCCTGGTTAGAAGAGCATTCCAAGTCTGACAACATCCCACACAGAACCTGTCTCTCTCTTTGAGAGAGAAGTGAACAAGGTCAGGAACAAGTGCCATGTGAGCGTAGTAGGTCTGGTGGGGGAAGGCAGAGATGGACTTTTCTCAGCTCATGGTTTGGTTCATCCAGCCAAGCACTTGGGTGATCCTGGTGTATACTCCATAGTAATTTGGACGTGCACATCCCATCCCCCAGCTCACCAAACCAGCCAGAAACCACTTGCCACTGGGCTCCTTGCAGGCTAGTGGACCTCCAGAATCACCCTAGAGAAAGGGAAAGAAAAATAGGGTTACAGTGATCCACCAATTTCTCCTGCTGGATGATTACACTAGCTTTGAGACTCTCTGTTCCCCAGTTCTTGCACCCCCTTTTCTCATGCCTGGGACATCTCTAACATCCATGGGTACCTTAGGCAGATGTCAAAGTCTCCTATGGAAAGATCTGACCCATTATATTAGTGCATTCCTTGACCATCCTTGACCTCTCCTTTAGCCAGGTCCCAAGAAGTTGTCAGCTCTATTGTTTCCTTCTGCCCCACGTGACATTTCCCGGCTGTCCAAATATTTGGAGAGTAACGGAAGGTGGTGGAGTTAAACTGGATGCCTGAAGCAATGGGAATCAGAGGAATTACTTGGGGTTAACTGTAATGAAGGAACACACTGGTTCCTCTGTTTGACAGATGCTGATGAGGATGAGGGGGAAAGGGACTGATGTAGACATGCAGATGATTTGTGAGGGGGAGATAAAGAGATGAGAATGGGCCAAAATGAGAAAAGAAGTCTAAGTGTATTTAGACCCTGGCTAAGGCAAGAATGCTGGGAAGAAGTGGCCCTGGGAGCTGTCACTGGTCACTTAGAAGAAGGGGTGGGTGAGTTAGGCACTTTATGGTCTTCTCACTCTTGTTGCAGGCTATGGAGTGCATTTGGGAGATTTGGGACACGCCCCACTACTGCTAGATGACCCTGATCCCAAAACTCCTCTGTCACCTGGCAGGCATCTTTCTTGCCCTTGTGGTACCCAGCACAGAGCATCCTGGGAGAAATCATGTAGTGATAGGCCTCACTGCAGATGTCCTGCTGGATGAGCTGCACATCTACCTTCTGCAAGATGTTGCTGATGCGGCCTGGGCGGGGAGGGTAGAACACCAAGAGCAGCAGAGGTGAGCAATGGAGTTTCCCATCACCTCCCACGAACCCCCAGACCATGCCCATTTCCATCTGCATGCTGAAAGCTGCCATATGAATATTTATTTTGTTCTCCCCTAACATCACAAGCTCTGCCTTTTAGTTGAACGCTTTACCTGCATGGAAAGGGTAATATTCCCTTGTAGTCCCTGTTCCTAGAGAGGTATGTTGTGGGCACTACAGCTTTTGGGAAGAAGGGGATGCTGAGTTGTGGCAACATCTAGGATGTCAACATTTGGTTTTGTTTCTCATTGAAATGAATGCCAAGCCCTTCTGGCTAGATATGCAAACTCGGGAGTATCCAGATCTGGACAGACTCCCTGAGTGTTTCCATTTAGGAAGCAACTGGAGCAAATGTGTGAGTATGACTGAAGGTACTAAGAGGAACTGGAGGAGCACATCTATATTTCTGTGTCACACAATACTAAGAAAAGAGCTTGGTACATTTACTGGCTCTGTGGGCAAGGAAGAGGGAGGGGTCATGTCCATACAGCTGAACTCTTTTCTCCCCACAGAGAAGAATGACCTCATCCATACCACACCAGGGGAACAGGTCTTGGCCCATGCTGTCCCACAGTTGTGTTTGGGTACTGCATGGCCAAAACTATGCCAAGGAGCATGCTAACAATTACACAATGTGATCCTCAGCAGACAATACTCAGACCTTGCACTGCTCCCATTCAGTTTACTAGTACGGATGTTGCTGCAGAGACTCAGGTTCTAGGGTCTTTGATATGGGGAAAAAATTGCTGCAAGGGCCCCAGACAACTATTCTGAGGAGACCGTGTCCAATATGGTTTGATGAAGAGCAGTCTTTCATCTCAATTCTATCCAGTTAGGCATTGGCCCTGGAGAACAACCTGACTGGAGCCCACATGTCTGTGTAGGCATGGGACTGGGCCTTGGGACTGGGGCTCTTCCATGCAGCAGTCATGGCTGAACAGCCCCACAAGTCCTGCAGGGCTGTCGTAGTCTTTGGATGAGGGAATACATGCTGTCCCAATATAGCATCCCAGACTCTCATGGCTGCCTCTTGAATGATATCTCTAGACCCTGAACAGGTAGCTTTGGCTGATCTGTGAACCAACATCAAAGATGGTAAAGGAGGCATGATGCTTCTGTGGTGAACAGAAACCTGTTCTGCCTATCCCACATCTGAATCTATGTTTCCACCTTGACCCTGTTACAGTGGGTCACCAGCACAGACCCTATACCTACCGCCTTCCTTGATGGCTCCCCAGCCAGTGATCCAGCAATGAAGGCCAGGCTCAAAGAGGTGGGAGGGGGCAGGCAAGCAGATGGGTTGGATGAAGGGTGAGCGGATCACAGGATGGTCCAGCTGGAGCAGGGCCACGTCATAATCATGGCTGTCCTCCTCATAATAAGGGTGGAGGAATAGGCGGCTCACTTTGAAGGACACCTCTGTGTGACTGGTGGCATTTTGCAAATACTTGCCCAAATAAATGGTCCAGACGGAGGGGGAAGCCAATCTGTCAGATGCAGCAGAGAAAACAACTCATCACACGAGCAGATCAAGATGGACAGATGCTGGTGGCTTCTGTCACGCCCCTTGAAGATATCTAATATGCGTCTGATATCTATTATGGATGATCTGTTCCCTCAAAGGAAACTCTTTTTTATTTGGCCACCGATTTCAAGAAACTTGTTGGGACATCTCTTTGATGCCTTAACATGCCTGTCCAGTGGCACTGACTTTTGGCAGACACTCACACATACACATTCGCTTATTTTCTTTAGCAAAGCAGGCTAAAAGGTATATCTAGGTTACACAGATAAGTGAGGTTGTTCAAGTACAAATGACTATGACAGGGCAGAGAACAAGGAATGAGCAGGGGAAGCAAAACTGCAAGGACATGGAAGGGGATATGGGGAAGGGGAACAAGATCTGATAAGCTTCTAAGAGGGAGTGAAGCAAGAAAAGCACCTCTGAGGTGAGAGCATTAAAAGGCAAGTCCTTTACCGAAGCAGGGGCTTAAGCTGAGGACAGTCCAACAAGAGGACACCTATGAAAGCAGAATACCTAAGAGTTTTGTTGTGACACCTGCGCCATGCCAAGGATGGCTGGCAGCTCCCCTTCTCCATGCTCACACAGCTTCAGGAGGGGAAGTCCATCAGTAGCAGCTGGGAAGGGGAACAGCAAATGGAGGTAGGGGATCCCTACCAGCTCACTTGTAGATGAAAAGGGGAGTTTGGAGGAGGTAGAGGCTGGGCCAAAGGGACCACACTCCTTCCCCCTCCCAGCCTGGTCGCTCAGCACTGCTCTGTGTCCTCCTCCTCATTTTTTCCCAGTTTGAAAGAATGGGGTGAACCCCCTGATCTGTGTTTTACTGATGTTTTTGTAGTATGTGTGACAGAACCACGTACATGCACTGAATGGAAGAAACCAGAAGAGAGTCAGAGCTTCCCCCTGAAAGGGCAGGCCTTTTGGATGGGACCTGAACAGCATCCTCAGCAGATAATGCTACCCCAACCTCTTCCTGGTACATATGGATGTTTCAGTGGTTGTGACAACATGAGGATGAGCCAGAGCCAAAGCAAAGGTGGAGCTGTGAAATATCTTCTGCTGCTGTTGTTCTCTCAAAGCTGCTCTGTGAATCCCAGAACTGCCCTTTTACCTACACGCACACCCACATACTAATGCATGTATTCATGCCCCTTTGGCCTTCATAGGCCAAATCCATTTTCTCCAGCTCCAAGCCATAGTAAGCATGCCATGGGTACCAGAGGAGACGTGCAGCTGCTCCATGACATTCCCACAAGCATGATGAGGCTCCTGTCAATGTGACATGGAAAATAATGCAAATCCTTCTCCTGCCCAGTACTCTCCCTTCTCCATTTACCTTTCATCCTGGAAGCAGTGTGCAGCTGAGACTACCCAGCGGTCAGCAATGAGTGTTCCCCCGCAAATGTGGCGGCCCCGAACTTGCAGGCTGGCTTGCCATGGCCATTCCCCTTCCACAGAATCAGCGCCACCCACAATCCTGCTGAGAGGGGCTTGCAGCCCACAGTCTGAGGAGGAGGAGGAGGAGGAGGCACAGTAGGTATTTAAAGAAACATGGTATATTGTGCCTGCCTTTCCTTTTCTGCTTAACTAACTGGAGAGTTTGACCTCCACACCCTCAAGCCCTTGTCTCACCCAGCCAGCAGTTGCTTTACATACTGTCCAGGAAAAGTCTAGTGAACAATTCCTTCTAGTGAACGTCCCCCCCCCCCCCCCGAGCTGATGCCTGCACAGCCTTCTCCTACCTCCCAGTGCCAGCAACAGTTTCAATTTGTGGATGCCTTCATGGCAGTACCCTGTGTGTGCTAATACTGTCCTGTGAGGGGAAACCTCACAGACGTTTCCCTTCGCTGCCCACTGAGACTCCAGAAATACCAAGCAGAGCAATGAATACAAGGTCTTTTCCTGCCAATACCATCCAGTCATGGGTGATTTCCCTGGCTGGGGCCTTGTAGGATGGCTTTGCTTCACATAAGCCAGCACAGTGGTCCAACAAGCAGCCTGTGGGCAGGACCTGGCCTGTGAGACACTTCTATCTGGCCTGATGCCTCTGCCTGAAGGAGATGGGAAGCAGCTAATCAGAAAGAAGACAATTCCTCCTCACAGCTCAGCACAGAGAGCTGGCTTGTTGCTGCTGCTGCCACCATGGTAGGATGGTGCAATGGGTACTGCTGCCACGGGGCTGGGGGATGGAGAAGAGGGTGGAACAAGGGAGGGCAGATGCTTGTGCTGGGGTGGCAGGGGGGAGAGAGAGTGGCTTGCATGTATGTGGCATCCTGAACCTGCCTGGCTGATGTGTGACTGAGCATTTCCTCACCGCAGTGCTTCTCATCGGACAGGTCCTTGCAGTCTGCAGTGGTGTCACACAGAGGGTTGGGTTTCTTCACACATGTTCCATCTTCACAGCGGTAGGTGAAGGGCCCACAGGGAACCCCTGCGAAGATGAAGGGGAGCTGAGGTTGAAGGAGGGTGGCAGGTTGTAGATGCAAGCCGAAGGCCTTTGAGTGGGGGAAAAAAGGCAACATGGAGCTTGGGGGAACTCCATAAACCATTACAGGGAATTCCCTGAGGGAGGTCAGTCAGCTACAAACAGGTTCAGAGTGAACATTGTGAGCAGGTTGTGAGCCTTGTTAAAAGCAGGGGAAGGATATTCATCAGCCTGGCACTGTCCCCTCCCTACCTTCACTGCACTGCTCTTCATCA